CCTCTATTTCCTTTTACTTTCCTCTTGTCCCACCATCATGCTCAGCCTTCATTTGGGTTTCAGTAATTCTTCTTGGTTACATTGCCCTTGATCAAGCCCTACCAGGCCTCCTACACTCTCCTTGCCACCGATTTTGGATCACTTTTTGTTCCCTTGTCGCTGGGGTTCTTAACACCACTTCCTTTCCTCTCCTCCACCTCTCATGTCCCCCGTCCCAGTTGTTTTCACCTCCAGATTGTGTATCCTGCCTATCTTATCTAGATAGATCTGCAGAGATAATAATATGCACAAAAATAAGACAGCAAAACAAAACGACAAAAGAAAACAAAATAACAACAATAAAAAAACCAGTGACAAAAGGAAAGCTTGTAAATAGTTCAAGGTCTGTTTGTTGACTGATTCGGTGGAGTCTGATGGGTGCTATGCCCTGGCCCCAAAGTCTATTTTTGGTATTCCCTTGGGACTTCTTTGCTCTGCTCCCCTTGCTGTTCTGTTGCATGCCCTTAGTGTTTTGCCTCAGTGTGGTGTGGTCAGATTGGGCGCAATTCCCACACTGTCTCCAGTGTTGTCCCCTGTAGGACTATGGGTCAGTGAAGAATGTCGTGTCTTGTGGTGGGGCTGGTCAAATGGTCCTCTCTGTGCATTGGCTGCTCTGAGCAGGGATATCATCCTCAAGGCTTGGTGGGCCAGGATGTGCTCCACTCTCACTTCCTCCCCCTTCATTTGCTCCTGTGTTCTCTGATCAGATATGACCCTCTCCCTGAGCTGCAGATTCAGTGCTATCCTGTGAAGTGAATTCTTCTGAGGGAGGGGCGGCTATCCACGTAGTTGGGATTGGGGCCGGCCCCTCAGACCTCTCTACTGGTTTCCTGCTTCGTGCCGGTGTGTTGCATTCACATCTTGGAGCACAGGGTTGAAATCGGGTCCCTCTTTTCCTGTGGAGATATAAGACAGGCCTTTTCTTAAGCTGTGATTGACTTGGTGTTTTATCTAGGGCTTCCCATCGACCTGGTTTTCATTTGACCCCTTGTCCCTGTGTTAATGGAAGAGAATCCTTTACAGTGGTTCTAAATAACTGTTTGCAGGAAGCATGGGGATTGTCTTTTCTGTCGGAAGCAGAATGGCTACCACTGCCTGTGCAGCAGGCCTAGGCAATCCCAGACACAGAGATCTGATGTGACCCTCCCCAGAGCATCCGTCGTTAGAAGACAGATGTAGGGAAAGCTCGTTTTCCCCATCAGCATACTTTTAAAAGCATTCTTTTGGCCTAGCTGCATCTTCATTTTCTATTGAAGTGGAAAAGAAGCAGACAAGCTTTTGGCTCTTAGCATGGCAGCCCATTGTAATGGTCTGTGGCGGTAGCTGGGCACCACCTGGACTTCTGCTCTCAGGGTAGAAGAGGTGGTCGTTCTTTGAGACTGCTTGCTTCTCTGTGCTTTTAGATATCTTCGTTCTCCTTTGTTTCTAGCCAGTTGAGACTTGGCTGCTTTCAGGCCTTTACGATCTCTGTTGCTACTTACTTCACTAGCATGCAGATCATCGTTTTTTGTGAACTAAAGCCAGTTAACTGAGTTGCCCCATGAGACTCGTATTTAGACTTCAAACCCAAAAAACTAGTGCTGAAAGGTTGTTAATTATGTCTTAGGGGTAGGTGTGTGTGTGTTAAGTAAATATATGTGCCTGCCCCCACACATTTGTGTTTACATCGACCTAAAGAGACTTCTACATGTAGCTGTTGCTTCTTGCGATGGCAGGCCAGTGATCCTTACGACAACAAGCTATTGAGTCTGAAGGGTCTATGATATTGTAGTGTATTGGCCTTTCCTTGTCATAAAAGAGGCCTTCACGTGTATGAGTATTTTAAAGAAATCTATTGCATTGTTTATTAAGTTCGCTACAGACAGCTGCTTAAGTAGTGATTTGCATCAGCGAACTAAGATTCCACCATACTAGAGTCTCATCCCATCCCTTAAAGAAATGTGGATTTCTCTTGAGGTAGCCCAATTGATCAGTCTCTTTGGCATTCCTTTTAGTGAGTCCTCTTGTTACGGGGAGCCCTGGTTTCAAAGTAGTTACACATTGTGCTGTTAACCGCAGTGTCGGCAGCTTGAAACCACAGCCACTCCCCAGGAGCAAGATGAGGCTTTCTACTCCTGTAACGAGTTACAGTCTTGAGGCAGTTTTACCCTGTCTTACAGGTGGCAAAGTTGGAACTGACTCAGTGGCAGTGAGAGCTTCTTAATGGCGGGAAGTGCCATTTTAAAAATAACCAGGGGCATGAAAAAGTTCGTGGGAAAATGTCATTCTTCTTCTATTCCACTTTTCCATGAACTTTTTGAAGCTGCCTCATACACAAAACATCTACGAGTCCGTACAGCTCCACGTATTGGAAAGCTCCATTTGGTGAAAGGAGCCCTGGTGGTACATTGGCTTAAGCACTGGGCTGCTAACCACAAGGTCAGCCTGTGGACCCACTAGCCACTCTCAGGAAGAAAGATGGGGAGACAGTCTCAGAACCCCAGGGCCCAGGTCTCTGTCCTTCGGGTTGCTTTAAGTCGGCATTGCCAGCGGCGGGGTCCAGCTGGCGAGCTTGCCTGGTGATACTTAGACACTGCACCTGTCTCTTCAGCACGGCCCGTAGAGAGAGAGACTGGGGGGATGAGCTCTCACAGGTAAAGTTGGTGTATATCGTACACCCTGCAGTAGGCATACATAGCACTATAAAAATAGACCTAACATTTCCAAGTGAAGCTTATCTGGGAGTCACTTCCACTGAGTCAGTACCGACTCATAGTGACCTCCCATCTGTGAGTTTCCAAGACAGTAACTTTACAGGAGTTGAAATCCAGTCTTTGTGGAGTTGCTGGTGCCTTTGACCTGTCGACCCTGTGGATTGCTGCCCAACAAATAACCACTGCAGTGCCAGAGCTCCTGCCTTAATTTTAAGAGTTATTTTACTCTTAATGTAAGAGCAACAAAGGTAACTGGAAGCACTTTCTGGAGACTTTATAGTGAGGATGAAGTTGCACTGTCCAGCCCCATTGTGAATCTGTCCCGAAGCAAACTGCTGCATCTTTCTCCTGGGCAATTTTTAGAACTAACTTCAGGTGTAAGAGAGGAGCTCGGGTGGATCAGTGAGCTAGGTGTTGGACAGCTAGCCCCAAGATTGGTGTTGGGACCCAGCAGCTGCTTCATAGGAGAAAGATGAGGCTGTCGGCTCCCAGATCTGCTCCCATGAAGACCCGCCTTGGGAACCCTGAAGAGCATTCTGTCTAGTCACTGTGCAGCGGAGTCAGCTCAGTGGCTATAGGGCTGGTGTGGGTGGGGTTTAGGATGAAGACTGCTTTGATGAGTCCCGTTGATGACTGTCTGCAGAACCTGGTGATGGGAAGGGCTCCCTGTTTTGATTTTTACCCATGTGCAAAGACCGCTCTAAGAATTATAGAGAGGATCGCAAACACAGAATCAAAACTTGCTTTTCATGAAGGAAAAGAAACCCTTTCTGTTTTGTAGGCCTGCCGGTGGCAATTCCCAACCTCGGCCCCTCCCTGAGCTCTCTGCCGTCTGCTTTGTCTCTGATGCTCCCAATGGGTATTGGTGACCGAGGAGTGATGTGTGGGTTGCCAGAGAGGAACTACACCCTGCCCCCATCCCCATACCCGCACCTGGAGAGCAGTTACTTCAGAACCATCCTGCCTGGTGAGTAAGTAACCTGAGCAAAAGAGCCTGCACCTTAGAGATATCTAATGTTAAAAAATTTATTTTCCTATTTGTCCCTATTATATATGTCTGAGGTGAGAGGAAAATTCCGTGTCTATTTGTATACTTTGAGAATGTGCGTTACACATGTAGTAGTTTGGCTCAGCACAATTGCTTAATGGCACAAATGTGATGCTGTTCTTCTTGACGTTCTGTAATTGTATCATTGAAATCCCCACTAACCACATCTTGCTACAGTGTCCTAGCGATTATGAAAAATTATCTTTCTTTTATAAAAGAATTACATGTACATTTCAGGAAGTTCAGCCAGTAAGAAGGGAGGGGAGCACCCCCCCTTTCTGCCTCGTTTCCCACACGTGGCTGCTTCTGTGGTAGTCGTCATTGAGATCACACTTTCTATGCAGTTATGTGTGTGTCCACAGTCCTCACTCAATGATTTTCTCTGTTGTATAGTTGTTCCATGTTGCTACATTAGTCATCATTATCCTTTTGAGTCATAATGCATTGCATTCAACTGACTGGTTAGTCCATTATTAATCAACTTTATCATTATACAATTTGCTTTTCTAGTTCTATTTTTATTAAAATAAGTTCTTTTGTGTATCCGTGCACAATACATACAGACCATCTTGAGGGTAGCATGCCATGTGACATTCTTGTGCAGGAGGATGGACACAGTTTGGGGATTTGTAATGTACACTGTCAGATTCTGCCTCATCGGGTTGTGGTAATGTGCATTCCCACGGGCAGGTCAGCCAGTTCCATTTGACCACATCTGCCGAAAAGCAGAGAGGCTACACAATGCTTTTCTGTTTTGATCGAGAAGGTAGAATTATGAATTGTTTTGAAGATAGTTTAATATATGATGATACCCTGACAAGTTTAAACTTGGTTACATGTAGCTAACTTTTATATTTCACAATGGAAGCTCTACCTTTAATTGTTTCGAGTAATCAATGGTAGCATCTTCGGACTCAGGAATTGCCATCACATAGATATTAAAGGCAACCTTTCAATGATCAATTTTTAGTTAACATCAGAGGGATATAGTTAAGATTTTTAGATTGAATTTCACAGGAGAAATTCACTTATGGTGTATGTTTGTTACTATTTATAAAGTACACATATTGTTTAAGCCAAAGAAATGGGTAGAGAATTATGTTTTTAAAAATGTACTAAAAAAAACCCAAAAAACAAACCCTGAGCGCTCTCTCTGTTTTTCCCCCTCAGGCATCTTATCTTACTTGCCTGACAGACCTCCCCCTCAGTACATCCACCCCAGCTCTATAAATGTGGACGGTAACTCAGCATTAGCTATCGCCAGTAACCCCGCAGCACTAGATCCATATCAGCCGAACGGGACCGTTGGATTAGAACCAGGCATGGTGTCGATAGACTCTCGCTCCGTGAACACACACAGTACCCAGAGTCTTCATCCAAGCGACGGCCATGAGGTGGCCTTGGACACCGCCATCACGATGGAGACGGTTTCTCGGGTGACCAGCCCGATCTCGACAGATGGCATGGCAGAGGAGCTCACGATGGATGGTGTTGCCGGTGAACATTCCCAAATCCCAAGTGACTCCAGAAGTCACGAGCCTCTGTCTGTGGATTCTGTGAACAACAACCTTGCAGCCGACCCCGTAGGACACGGTGGTGTGATCCCCATTCATGGGAATGGCTTGGAGCTCCCTGTGGTCATGGAGACAGACCACATTGCAAGCCGGGTCAACGGGATGTCTGACAGTGCCCTCAGTGACTCCATGCACTCCGTGGCCATGAGCACTAACCCTGTAAGCGCGGCACTCTCTACCTCACACAGTCTCGCCTCCCTAGAGTCTGTCTCCCTCCATGAAGTTGGCCTCAGCCTAGAACCTGTGGCGGTCTCCTCCATCAGCCAGGAGGTGGCTCTGGGGACAGGTCATGTAGATGTATCTTCAGACAGTCTTTCTTTTGTGTCGCCTTCACTGCACATGGAAGACCCCAGTTCAAACAAGGAAAATGCGGCAGCCTTGTTTACCATTTGTGAGTGCGCTTAGTGTGTTTCTTTTGGAAGTACTGCTAGTAAGAGCCACCGAGGGTCTAAGAAGAAGTGTAGCCACAAAGTCCAGACATTGGTGAAGGAATGGTAGAAAGCAGCTAGACCTGGGTTTTTTCTTTGCTTTTGTATTCTCCTTTATATTCATGTGGTAACTTTTCCTCAAGAAAGTCAAATGACAATATGAACTTGTAGTTGGTTATCACAGCATCCTTCATAATGTAACAGTCATTTCTGTTATTTTACAGATAAGAGTAAGCTTCGCCTGGTAATATTTAAGGTATTTCAGTTTTAGACATGTTTAGACCTGTTGATGTCAGTGTGTGTAAGATAACCCAGTAGAGATGTCTAATAAGTAGGTTTGGGAAAACTGTGGGGTTCACCAACATGTAGATGTTAATCATGGCCATGGGAGTGGGTGACAGGAGAAGAGAGCAGGGCCCCAGGTACAGTCGACCAAGTAGGAGGGTCAGAAGGGAGGAGGAAGACAAGCCCTAGTGAGACCTTTTGTGACAACATCTCTTCATGTCGCAGGTTTACAGTGAAGTGTGATGCAGTTCGTCATTAATTTAGGAAAAGATAAGAGATGGCCTATGTAAGCTTACTGTTCTTAAGTTGGAACAGAATGCTTTGATTTGAAGTGTGCTGGGATTCAATCATGTAAAGTGTGTAACCCAGTAATTTTTATAATGTTCACAAGGCTCTGGCACCATCACTACTCTTTATTTAATTCCAAAACATTTTATCGCCTCCCAAGGAAACTCCATATGCATCAGCATCTGCTCCTTATTCTCCCTTCGTTCCCTGGCAACTGCTGCCTCATCGATGGCGGCATGCGTGGCCTCATACAACGTAGGCCTTCTGTGTCTGGCCGCTGTCACTTAAGCATAATGTTTTCAGGGTTGACGCATGTGATAGCAGGGGCTAAAGCTGCCTTTTCCTGGCTGAATGATGGTCCATTGTTTGAAGGTATCATATTTTGTTTACCCATCTGTCGATTGGTGGGCATTTGAGTTTGTTCCCACCTTTGGTTATTGTGCAAAATCTGCTCTGAATGTCTGTAGACAAGTTTTTGCCAGATGATGTTTCCCTTTCTCTTGGATCTCTGTATCTAGGGAGGGAATTGCTTTAATCTTTGAGCAGTGTCAGACTGCTTTCCAAAGTGGCTGCACCAGTAATGTCTTGAAGGTCCAGTTTTTCCACATCCTTGTTAACACTTATTTTCAGGTTTCTGGTTTTGTTTTTTTTCTAATCGTTCTAGTGATTGTGAAGTGGTGTCATTGTGATTTTGATTTTGCATTTCTTTAATGGTGAACATCTTCTCATGGGCATGTTGGCCATTTGACTATCTCCCCTAGACTTTAAATCACTTCCTGGACCAGTGGCTGGGGCAGTTTTAAAGTTGCAGACAATGTAATGGCTGTGACCCCCCTGAATAGTTCATTGTGGATGGTGAAACAAGAGGCACTAGAGTCCTGGATAAACTCACGCAGAGACCAGTGTCTTGAGGCTCATGGCAGACAGCGAAGCACCAGGAATAACCCAAGTTATGTCTGTGTGTGGGCTCTGTGCTCATAGCTGGCAGAAGCAGAAACTGTGGTGCCCGACTCCAAAGGTGGTAGCCGACTGTGCCATTTTGAATGTGTGGCTCTCCACAGCCCTGGCGGTAATCCAGCCTCACACATCAGACTTCGGAAAGGGCTCAGCACACTGCTTCTGAACCTCATTCCAGGGCTTTGATCCATAATTTCCAGTTACCATTTCATTTCAATCAAATTTTAAAAATCCAGGCCTACTCTGATTTTACCAAGATCTTCAATCAGAAATTGGCCAAACCTATAATTAAGATGCATTGATAGTTATTGGTGATTGAAATGCAAAAGTTGGAAACAAAGAGGATGGAACAATAGATGAAAAATACGGCCTTGGTGATAGAGCTGGAAGTAGCATGATAAAGTTCTGCAAGACCAACGACTTCTCTGTCGCAAATGGTTTTTTCAACAACACAAACGGTGACCTAAAACATTGACTTCTCCAGGTGGAGTACACAGAAACCTGGATGACAACGTCTATGGGAAGAGACAAGGAGAAGCTCAGTCACAGTTAAAACAAGGCCAGGGTCTGACTGTGGAAACCATCAATTGCTCATATGGGAGTTCAGGTTCAAGCTGAAGAAAAATTTTAAAGTGTACAAGAATCAAAACACACCCTTGACTGTATCCCACCTAAGTTTGCAGAACATCTCAAAAACAGATTTGATACATTGAATATTAATGCAGAAAACCTGATGAGCTGTGGGATGACATCAAGAACATCATTCATGAAGAAAGCAGAGCATTTCAAAGGACAGCTTGAGAAGATCATATAAAGCATTATAATGAAAGGTGCAAACCATGAAGGATGTGCTCAGCGTATCTCAAGATGCGTTCAGCACAGGAAGCATCAAACGAAGATGGAACGAATACACAGAGTCATTGTACCAAGAACAACTAGGTGACATTCCACCATTCAGGAGGTAGCATATGAGCAAGAACCAGTGGTGCTGAAGGAAGAAATTCATGCCACACTGAGCCAGTGTGGTTAGTCTAAAACCAGACTCGGGAATTGCTGGAATACCAACTGAAGTGTTCCAGCAAGCTCAAAAAGCACTCACTGGTCTGCCGGGACATTTGGAAGACAGCCAGGTACTTGGCCAACTGGCGGGAGATCCATATTTTAACTATTCCAAAGAAAGGTGACGCAATAGAATGTTCAAATTATAGAACGATAGCATTGGTATTGAATGCAAGTAAAATTCTGCTGAAGATCATCCAACAACAGTTGCAAGTAGTCTATTGATAAGGAGGTACAGAACCAGAGGTTCAGGCAGGATTCAAAAGAGGACATGGATGGAACAAGGGATATTATTGCTGATGTCAGATGGATCTTGGCTGAAAGCAGAGACTACCAGAAAGATGCTAACTTGTGTTTCATTGACTGACTATGCTAAGGCATTTGACTGCGTGGATCATAACAAGCTATAAAGAGCTTTGACAAGAATGGGAATTGCAGGACACTTGTTTGTGCTCATGCAAAATTTGTACATGGATCAAGAAACAGCTGTGTGAACAGAACAAGGGAATGCTGTCTGATTTAAAATCCAAGAAAGGTGTGAGTCAGGGTTGTATTCCTCTCACCATTCCGTTTGCTGAGCAAATCATCAGAGAAGCTGAATTATATGAAGAAGAATGCAGCATCAGGATTGGAGGAAGGCTTACTAGCAAATGCACATGATACAACTTTGCTTGCTGAAAGTGAGGAGGACTTAAAGTACTTGCTGATGGATTGCAACCTTCACCATAGATTGTGTTTCAGTGTAATGAAGACCCAAATCCGTAGAACTGAACCTGTAGACGACATCGTGATGAACAGAAAAGATCCAAGTTGTCAAGCATTTTGTCTTGCTCAGATCTACAATCTGTGTTTATGAAAGCAGCAGTCAGGAGATCAGACGTCGTGTTGGGTAATTGTGCTGCACTAGACCTCTTTAAAGTGTTGGGAAGCAAAGTTGTTACTCTGAGGACTAAGATGCCCTTGACCCAAGTCATGGTATTTTCAGTTGCCTCCTATGCATGTGAAAGATAGGTATTGAATAAAAAGACCAAAAAAGAACCGACGCATTTGAATTGTGCTGGCAGAGACTTGAAGAAATACAACCAGAATGCTCTTTAAAAGCAAGGATGCGAGACTCTGTCTCACATCTTTTGGACATCTTGTCAGGGAGACCCATCCCTGGAAAAGGATGTGGAGCTGGTAAAGAGGAGGGCCGTGAGGAAGAAGACCTTGACAAGGTGGATGGACACGACACAGTGGCTGCAGCAGTGGACTCGACCTAAGAAGGATTGTGAGGCTGGCGCAGGGCGGGGCGCTGTTTCAGTCTGTCCACAGGTCTTCATGATAGGGTTGCAGTGACTGGATTACACCTAGCAACAACATCCGATTGAGTCTCATTGACATCTGAACTCGTTTGACTGAAGTCTACAGAAGAACGATATGCACCTATTCCAAATTCAACTTACAGACACATTTAGGGAATGGCTTGCAACAAGGGGACTCTGTAGAAGTACACTGGCTGGTTTTTAACAAAGCTTAGTGTCTTCGGGGGCTGTCCGCATGCCTAAAGCCACTTTGTCCTGGAACATGGCCTTTCACTCTGCAGTAGTTTTCCCATTCAGAGCAGTCTGTTTAATGCTAGTTAGACCTGCAGTGACAAACTTTTGAAATGTCTCAGTTTGGCCATGATATTGATAACTGCCGCTACTAGGAGTGAAAATGGCAGTTAAGTAATGTGTAGCAAGAAAATTCAGATAGCTTATTCCACGACTCCCTCCAAAAGGATTTGTTTTAAGGGCCTGGTCAACCCTCTGAAAAGCAGGTGTTGGGTCCAAGGAACGCCTTGCGTGCATCTGCCCAGTGAGACGGACACTCAGGGCCGGAATTCAGCCCCACTGAGCCATTACATCCCAGTAAGGGTCACCCAGAGTATTTCTGATCAGTGCCGCCAATCTGACCAGCCACTTGGAGGTTCGCAAAGGAAGGATGCATTTACACCAGTGCCCTGTTGTTCTTGCAATGTGTGCTGCTAGGCTTACAGTCTTTAGTGTGGTTATTTATTCCCTAGACTCCTCAGTGGTGGTATCATGTTAAGTACATGTGTTTATCCCGTACTTAACAATAGTCACCCCATTGTCGTGAGGTTACCTAGTTCTGCATCCCTAGCTTGTCATTGTGAGGCCAGACCAGAGAAGATTGGCCTGTGCCTGGGCAGAGTGACGTGTGTTTTCCGTGCACTGTAGTTAGTAGTAGCCACGGTGCTTAACTTAAGGTTTCTATCTTTATGTTCAACTCGCCAAGAGTGCACCGCCAGCTGGTCTTGCCCTTTTAATGGGAGTTCCACTAGGGCAGTGGTTCTCAACCTTCCTAATGCTGCAACCCTTTCATACAGTTCCTCATGTGGTGGTGACCCCCTAACCATAACATTATTTTCGTTGCTACTTCATAACTGTCATTTGCTACTGTTATGAATGGGGGTGACCCCTGTGAAAGGCTCGTTTGACCCTCAAAGGGGTTGAGACCCTCAGGTTGAGAACCACTGCACTAGGGGAAGTGGGACCTCTGACTGCTCCGGGGCTGTGGTAAGGGCCACCCACGAACAACACGGATTATTTGTTTGGACCAAGTGGCACATCATCCAGGAGAGAGACCTGTGTGTCAGTGTCTTTTAATTAAGTTAGCAGGGTGCAAAGGGGAGAAGCATTCAGATAACTTTGTGGTCAGTTAACCTCTGTAAGGCACATATATTAGTATTGTAGTTTGCAGTACTGCCTCCTGCTGCTCAAACTTCGCAGGTTGTGGGGTCTTTTTTGGCTGTGTGTACCCTACCTCTCTGCCAAAGTAATCTCTCTTTTTCTCACAAACCTTTTCTTATGAACAGCACATGTTTTACCTCATTCATTGTAGTCACCTCAATGTAGGTAGCATCACCACCCCAACTCCTCCCTGTTTCCTGTGGCCCTTCTCCTCTCCTAACCCTTCTCAATGCTGTCCTAAGTGATTGCTGACTCCTGGGCCCCAGCTGGTTGATTAGTTTAAGCAGGCGTCCTCAAACTACGGCCCGCAGGCCACATGCAGCCCCCCAAGGACATTTATCCGGCCCGCCGGGTGTTTTTGCCCCGTTTGTTTTTTTACTTCAAAATAAGATACGTGTAGTGTACATAGGGATTTGTTCATAGTTTTTTTTTTAAACTATAGTCCGGCTCTCCAACAGGTCTGAGGGACAGTGAACTGGCCCCCTGTTTAAAAAGTTTGAGGACCCCTGGTCTAAGGTGTGCACATAATCAGTAGTGATATTATTCCCCATATGCATCTGTCTTTCCCTTTTTTAACTGAAAATTGAGCCACGAGGGAGAGTCCAATTCTAGACCCAAAAGAGTGACTAAGGACCATCGTTTTAGGAGAGCTGCCGCTGCCTCTCCTGCCGGCAAGCCTGAGCTCTGCTGTGATTTTGAGTTTTGTTCTACATTTTCTCCCACTTCATCCCAGACCACCTATGTGACCCCGTTCAGAGCGGGGGACTAGTTCTTCTGAGCTCAGGATGGTGGAGGCGGACGTGGGCCTCCGGACAGTGTTTCCACGCGTCTTCAGTTTCACTGCTCTTTTCTCCGCTGAATAGAGACCAATACTTGCACCTCCAGGAGCCATTCCTGAGCTTTGAAGGCCTCAGTCACTGCTCACCCAAGTGGGATGTAGACCTTGGCTACGTTACTGCCTACGCTGACGGGTCTCTTGGTAGTTTTTGCTATCAATATGGAGGGTAGGCCATGCACTGGTGCCAAACTCAGGGCCACCAAGAAACATGTGGGTCAAGTCCCCCCACCACAAACAAACAAACAACCTCCCCCACAAACTCCCTGCCATCGAGTTGATGCCAACCCACTGTGACCCTATAGGACAGGGTAGAACTGCTTCTGTACGTTTTCAAGACTAATTGTTTACGGGAGTAGAAAGCCCTGTTTTTCTCCTGAGGAGCAGCAAGGGTTCGAATTGCTGACTTTGAGCCTAACAGCCCACTGTGACACCAGGGCTCATTATATGGGCAATAAGCCCTGCCCACCCACTCACTTGGTACTCGCCACTGGCTGCCCCGATCTACCACCATCTGCCCAGGGTTTCTGTTGACCGACATCCTGAGTGCTAAGTCTGGTTTGGTAGAGTCCAATTAGGGCTGAGCATGGCTGATGAGGGAGGACTTCCCTGGCCTGATGCAGACAGTTCCCCAATTTGATACCTCAAATCATAGCGAGACGTGTGCTGTGCACCGTGGTTAAGCCTGTAATGTGCCGCTGATGTCATTCTCAGAGACCCTCAGTCTTAGGATGGATAAAGACACTGATAAGGAAAGGCAATCCGAGTGAAAGCTTAGGAAAATTAGATCTTCGAGATCGGAATGGCTCTGGGAAGACCGCCTTCCCACCCATGGTGGGAGCTTCCTGTGGGGCCTGCAGGGGGAACACCCTCCCTGCGGTGCAGGAGGAGCCCTGTTAGGACTCAGTTTGTTTCTGGAGGAAGCCACTTTCCCTTCTGCCTCTAGGGGCTTGCAGGACAGGTGAAAAATGGTGGCTGAGTCCTGATTTTCAGCCCATTGTTGGCTAGAAAAGCCAGACCCATGGTCACTGTTGATCTCTTTACACCTGCCTCAAAACCTGGTGGCCCCGTTTGTACAAAGTAGTGCAGAAGGCGACAGCCGAGCAGCTGGCTCTGGCCCGGCATGGCTAACACTCAGCCCGGCTTCCTCTGGGGCATCCGTGGCTTGTGAGTCTTGTCTTTGAAGGCATCCTTTCTGAAAATATGACGTGTGTAATGAAGGTCAGGAGACCGAACCTCGCTGACAACGCACTGTCCTTTCTTGATCCCTCTTCCTCTTCTGCACTGAGACACTGCTCCATTGTATGGGGGTAGGGGGTGGGGGTGGGGACTACAATTGTGATGCAGTCAGAAGGGGGAGAGATGGGAGCTGTGTATTCCTTAGTGTAAGAGTGGTTCTTTGATCAGAGTTTTGATTGGGATCTGGGTGGGGGATATGATTTTATTGCAGTCAGAAGGGGGAGAGATGGGGGCTGTGCATTCCCTAGTGTCGGAGCAAAGTGGTTCTTTGATCAGAGTTCTGATTGGGACCTTGCTGCGTACTCACATTTAGTACCCAGCACTTCCAGGTGAAAAGTAAGAGGTGGCTGCCTTCCAGCTTCCCTGATCCCATCTGTGTGTCTCCTGTGTGTCCCCTGCAGGGTGCACCCTCTGTGACAGAGCCTACCCCTCAGACTGCCCAGATCACGGGCCGGCCACCTTTGTTCCTGACACGCCCATCGAGAGCAGAGCCAGGCTTTCTCTCCCAAAGCAGCTGGTCCTCCGCCAGTCCATTGTGGGCGCCGAAGTGGGTAAGCAAAACGCCACCTCTGCTCCTGCCTGGGTGGAGTCCCAGACGCAGCCCTGTGAGACTCAGTGCGTATTTGGTGGCCGTCACATCCAGTTTGCTCCTTCAGGGAAGATCTGTGTGATGCAGCGGTGACTGCAGTGCCGCAGCTGGAGGCTTGCACGCTCCTGGAGGAGAGGCTTCTGGTGTGGGGCCTCCCAGTCCACTCCCGATCACCATGACGACATACTCCTGGGAACCTGGTGTCTGTTACTGAGACCTGGAAAATAGACTTAACGACCTTTCACCACAAGAGAGATTTAGATCGGATGTTCATAAGTTGTCTTTTGCCATTAAGGAGAAAGGAATAGGAATGTGGACCATGAAAGTACTTTAAGAACAAACTGAACCCACTCACGTTGATTCTGACTCCTAGCAGCCTCAGATAGGGTTTCCCAGTCTATTAATCTTTATAGGAGCAGCCTGCCTCATTTTTTTTTTCCTCTTGTCGAGTGGCTGGTGGTGGGTTTGAACTGCCCACCTTGTAGTGGACTGTGCAGCACTTTTCCTCATGTAAATTCAAGGACCCTGATAGTGGTTCCAAGCTGGGTTGAAACCACCAGCTGCTTTTTGGGACAAAGATGAAGCTTTCTTTCTACCCTGCAAAGAGTTCCGTTTCGGGAACTCACGGGGCAGATTTACCCTGTCTGCTGGTCACTGAGCTTGAACTGGAATTGTCTCGAGGGCAGAGTTTGGTTTTGGGTCTTATGTAAATTCAGCATGGTTTCGGAATGACTTTCTGTCCTTCAAAAACATGGAACTAGGTTAACCATTCTTCACCTGGTGCTTATGCATGAGCCCCCTTGAACTCACTGGACAGCTTAGAAGGAGCCTAGTGGTCCTTTGGGCTAAAACTCACCAGCCACTTCCCAGGAGAAGGACGTTCTGCTCTGGTGAAGATTGACAGCTGTGGAAGTTGTGCTCGTCTGCCTTGTAGGGTCTCCAGGAGTCGGATTCCCCGGGTGCCTGCGAGTTTCAACTGCAGAAGCAATGAAGAGCAGTGTTGTCCCCACACAAGGTTTTAGCAGTGTGCGGTATTTTTACAGTAACCACTTTCTATCTTTATGATAATCTTCTAGCCCCCACTTTGTCTGGTCACCCATGTCAGTCACATTTGCGAAACAGAGATTGTCACAGAAACGGGATCAGAGAATGCACAAGACTTGGTTAGCGCTAGGTGTCCTGGGATACCAGTGGCTCTTCGGTTCTGAAAATGGGTGTCTTTGCACGAGTCCTGTATCGCGCTCCTCTAGCCTCTTGGTGGCGTCAACCATTGATTGTGTCTTTGATGGCCCCCCCCTGCAGGTGTGTGGACGGGAGAAGCCATCCCTGTGCGGACTTGCTTTGGGCCCCTCGTTGGCCAGCAGAGCCACTCCATGGAAGTAGCAGACTGGACAGACAAGGCCGTTAACAACATCTGGAAGGTCAGTGTGGATGAAACTTTTCCATGGGTGCAACGGTTAGGATGAGGTAGTTAAAAGTGACCCGGGCAGTGCCATCTACCTGTCAGCCATTTAGTTACTATTGCGTCCTTACTGTTAAACCTGGGTGGACAAGTTATGATTGACAGGAAACACCACCTACTGGGTAGAGAGGGTAAACTCTTCATCTCCATTTCGTGAGGTGCCCAATAAGTCTATATTTTAATTAAGGGAGGAAGACAAGGCTTCTACTCCCCTGAAGAGTTACAGTCTTGGAAACCCACAGGGACAGTTTTACCCTGTCCTCTGAGTTGGCATCAACCTAATGCAGTGGGTTTGGTTTTTGTGTTTAGTGCGGCTGAGGCTATGAACGGTGTTTGTATGGGCGTCTTATTTGTAATGAATAAACAGTCGTGAATGTAGCTTGGGGAACAGTTCTAGAATCAGGAGCAAAGGTTCTTTCACTTTCTAGCGGGAGAGGTGAGAAACGGAAGGTTCGAACAAAAACCACCATCCCTGTAAGCTGCTTCTAGGGACTCTGGTCAGTGGCGTGGCAGTGATGCTCCCACGTGGAAGGGAAGTTGGGAAGTGAAGGAAGAGGATGCCAGTGGGAGTGGGGCTTAGTTGTGATATCCAGAATAGAAACCCGGCAAATGGAAGAGCCAGAAGTAGGGTAGTCCTGTGTCCTCAGCCCTCCCGCAGCCATTCACAACCTCTCTGGTAGCAGTCGATGAGGACAAGCTGTCGAGTCAGAAAGGGACACATCCGGAGCGGAGTCGGTCTACACTAATGGGGGTGGGGGTGAGACTTTTTCACCCTGAGGGGAACAGGGAGGCGGGGGAAGTGAAAACTGTCTAGATGGGGTGGAGGCCAGCCTTCATTTAGTAGCGCTTGGTGTGGCTTCAGTGCTGTGACAGGTCTGTACTGCCTCTCGCCGGCAGATCTTCCACAACGGCGTGCTGGAGTTCTGCATCGTCACCACGGACGAGCACGAGTGCAACTGGATGATGTTTGTGCGCAAGGCCCGGTGAGAGCCCGCCCCAGGGGAGGGGCACCACGGAGGGAGGCGCCAGTCCTGCCTAACCTCGCCCAACTTAGGGAACCCGAGGAGGAGGTCCAGGTGACCTGATGACGTGCTCCCAAAAGAGCCCGACCCCATGAAGACATAACTGGCTGTCAAATCAGTCCTAACTCAGCTGTCCTAAGACTGCTCCATAGGGCTTCCTAGACTGCGTATCTTTATGGAGGCCGACGGCTGTGTCTTGTCTTTCCCTCAAGGAGAGCGTGGTGGGTTTGAACCACTGACCTCTAGAGGAGCAGTTAACAGCCAAGGAGTACATACCCAGTACCCAGTACCCAGTACCCTACCAGGGCTCCAGCCTTGCGCTTCTGCTCTGACTCACAGGACCAGGGCTGCTGTGAGTCAGAATCAACTTGATGGCCCAGGGCAACAACAAGGCTGCTTCAGCTTTGTCACTTCCGTGGGGCTGAGCTCATGATGATTGCCGTTCAGAACACAAGAAACCAGTACCCTTGTAAAGAAACAGTTAGTTCAACCGAATGCAGCAGGGAATGATAGTTATCATTGGGTTACAAGTGGATACTTTCTTATTATGGCTCGATGGTTATTTCAGATTAGTATTATTTAGAGACAGTTTATGTAACTGGGCTCCCAGTCACAGACTGCCGTTTCTGACTTGAGGGCAGTCAGCTCATGCACAGGGTTAAGGACGGTGTGCCTGTCTGAGTCCCTGGGACGGGCTAGGGAGACCGGCAGGGGCTGTGGTGTGCTCTAGGCGCCTGGCGGCTGAATGAGCCTGATGTCTTCCATGTGACGACTCAGGCACCGGGAAGAGCAGAACCTGGTGGCTTACCCGCACGATGGCAAGATCTACTTCTGCACCTCCCAGGACATCCCGCCCGAGAGCGAGCTGCTCTTTTACTACAGCCGGGATTACGCACAGCAGATGGGTAAGCTGACAGGAGTCCTTTGTCTGCAGGCTTGCCAACACGTCAGTTAAAGCACAGCCGCGTGCCTCATCTGACCCAAGGGGAGGGTGTGGATTTGTGACCAGGTGCTGACCACCAAGCAGACATTTTAGGAAATGGACGTCCACGTCGGGGCTTTGCTCGGGGAATCCCATGATCCCGCAGCTGTTTCTGAGTCAGCACCACTGGGCTTTAAGTTCCTGAAGGACAGCAAAGTCCCTGGAACAGACCGAACCTGCCCAGGTGTCCTCCTTTCATTGTGTCATGCACGAGGACACTGCTGTGTGAGCGTTTGTGCCACAGAACTTACACGTTTGCCTAGGAAGGGACCTGACAACCCAGCATTTCCTGGGTGTCCGGGATGTCTTAATGCTCCAGGGCAGCGGCTCTCAACCTTTCTCATGCTGTGACCCTTTCACACAGGTCCTCGTGGTGGTGACCCCCAACTATAACATTATTTTCGTTGCTACTTCATCACTGTCCTGTTGCTACTGTGATGAATTGGGCGACCCCAGTGAAAGAGTCGCGACCCGTGGGTTGAGAACTGCTGCTCTAGTGAGAGAGCCCTGAGCAGGACTCTTACGTTTTACAGGGAATGGACAAGCAGGACATGTTGACGAGGGTGAGAAGTGCAAGCAAGAACGGTTAAGGCTAACAACTAGTTTTCAAACGTCAGTACCTGGCTACACTGAGTGAGCTTTCTCTCTGCAGGGGTTCCTGAGCACCCAGATGTGCACCTCTGTAACTGTGGCAAGGAGTGCAATTCCTACTCGGAGTTCAAAGCCCACCTGACCAGCCACATTCACACACCCCTGCCCAGCCAGGGCCCGGGCAGCAGCCACGGGCCCAGCCACAGCAAAGACAGGAAGTGGAAGTGCTCCATGTGCCCGCAGGCCTTCATCTCGCCCTCCAAGCTGCACGTCCACTTCATGGGCCACATGGGCATGAAGCCCCACAAGTGTGACTTCTGTAGCAAGGCCTTCAGTGACCCCAGCAACCTGCGCACCCACCTGAAGATCCACACAGGTGAGTGAGCCGGCCCCGGAGCCGAGCTTCTGCACCAGGGCAGCGTGGTGAGGGAAGTAGCTCCGCAGAGACGCAGATTGCAGGTAGAAGTGAGACGTGTGTGTCTCCCAGTGCGCCCCTCTGGCTGCCAGACCAGACCTTGGGGGTGGTAGACCCTTGGTGGAACAGCACGGGTCTGCCGGGGCTGTGAGGAAGATGCTCTGCGTTCTGTGCATCCTCCCCAGGGAAACTCAGGCAGGCCTCAGGAAGTTGACTTACTCATTGCCATGGAGTCGGTGCTGACTCAGCAAGCCTGTAGGACACGGTAGCACTGCCCCTGGGGGTTTCCAAGCCGATAACTCTTTATAGGAGTAAAACGTCCCATCCTTCTCCCCAAGAGTGTTTGCTGGTTTCAAACTGGGCTCCTGACATCTGGAGTTAAAGCACAGGGAATTCCTCAGCATGGTGTTCTGACGAATGCTGCCAGATTGGGGGTTTGAGCGTCCCCTGGCTATGTTTCGCTCTCCTCTCTGAGCTGCTTTGTGCCTAGCTTCTTGGAGCCACTAGCCTCTTCTGGAATCAGAGTGGTCTCCGTCCGTAGGTGTGTGTAGATAAGTGCTCAGAGTAAACCTCAGGTTCAAATGTCATGTTCTGCTGGAGCCACCCTGGCCCTGCCCTGCCTGCTTCTTGAACTTACCAAGCATGCTCCAGCCTCAAGACTTGCCACTTCAGGGCCCGGCCTGGAAACGTGCACCCCAAGGCTTGTGGCCGGCGGGGCGAGAGTGAAGTCTGTTCCCAGATCTCCACCACGCCCCCACCTGTGTGTTGGGGCCTGGCGCATGCCCAGGCCGAGGCTCACGTGGGTTCCCGTGCAGGCCAGAAGAACTACAGGTGCACGCTGTGCGACAAGTCCTTCACGCAGAAGGCCCACCTCGAGTCCCACATGGTCATCCACACGGGCGAGAAGAACCTCAAGTGTGACTACTGCGACAAGCTGTTCATGCGGCGGCAGGACCTCAAGCAGCACGTGCTCATCCACACGCAGTAAGTGGCCTGCGCCCCGGCTCTCCGTCGCCAAGCAGGGTGGCGACATGGAGCAGCCCTCGGTGTTGAGCTTGCTTTGGTCTCCTCGTGCTCCCGCTTCTCCTCATGCATGCGCTCACTCCTGACGCGGCACGGTTTCAGCCCCTCAGTGCCTCCAGGGACAGCGACAGACACACGGCACCTGCCCAGCGTGCTGCTGTGCTCAGAGGCCCAAAGACCACTGACCAGGCATCGATCAGTCTGAGGGAAGTCCGGGGGAGGCTTGCTGCTGGTGTGGTCATAGATAAGAGTGATTTTGAGAGGCCAGGGAGGATAACGATGGGAACATGCTTCCAGACAGAGAGCGTGGCCTGTGCACAAACCTGGATGCATAGACTGTCCAGTGCTGTCTCATTCAAGCCCCTGGAAGAACTTGCCTATTATAGACTGACTGAATCTGCACTCTTACCAGACCCCATGGTTCTGGTGTCTACCGGAGGCTCTGGTTGAAATGTGGATTCGGATTCAGTCAGTCTGGGGCGGAATGGCACATTCTCAGCCCTGCCTGTGAGAGGGTAACAAAGGGCAGCGGCCACGGCCTGCAGAAATGGGATTTCACTCTGGAGGTGCTGGGGGCCCCACAGGGCAGGCCTCTGGAGGTGCTGGGAGGAAGCAGTGGCGGCCAGATCCTGAGAGCCTGGCCAAGAGTGTGACTCCGTGTGGAATTCCCTTGCACATGGTACTCTCGGCCATTGAGCCCAGGCTGACTCACAGTGGCCTTCCGAGGGGTTCTGAGATTGTAACTGTTATGGGAGTAGAGAGCCAGTCTTTCTCCCAGGGAGCAGCTGGGGGTTTCGAACTGCTGACCATGCGACTCTTGGCCCAGTGCCTAACCACTGCGCCACCAGGGCTCCCTAGTGCACTCAGGAGAGAGGAGAAGGGACTTTGTGGTCCTCAGAGACCACAAAGGCAGGAGCATCATTACTCAGATTCTCCAGAGGTCCCTGTAGGAGTCCGTTTATAGGTGTGCCTCCTCCCCAGGCCGTCTGCAGCCTCGGGCATGTAACCACACATGACTCTGATGTGCGCTGGCCACGAGGCAGCTCATGTACCGTGTGCCTGCAGCCCCCCTTCCTGCCAGAGTTCACCAGCTCAGGAAATGGGGCCACGCTTTCCCCACCACCTCGACCAAGTTCCAGCACTCTTACAGGGGTTGTGTCCGGCCTCTCCCACTGACCTCCCACTTCTCCTTCTAACTTCCCCTGTCCGTGTTCCTCATCTCAGTGGCACACGTGCACCCCCACCTCTGCACGCCTGTGAGCCGATAGTGAGTGCCTACCCGTCCCCTCAAAGTTCTCAGTGGCTGCTCATCGTTCCTGGATGAGAAGCCAAAGGCCCTTGGGTCTCCCCAGGCTCCGCTTTAAATACTCCGGCCCTCCCCTGAGCCAGCACCCTCCGCTCAAGGCCTGTCACTGCTGGGAAAGTGCCCCGAGGACTGCTGGAAGGCACAGACCCATCACCGATGGAAAGCTCAGTCTTTCCCAGGAAACTGCACCTAAAGGCATTTCTCTACCTTCCAGTTTGTTTACTGTGAACTTTTGAAGTCTCTTGTGCGCGCCCGGGAGAAGCTCCCCCAGGTGCAGACCAGTGCAGTGTGTTCCATAGCTGCCTGCCTGTGCTGCACTGCACCATCCCGACGGAAAGCAACAGAGTGGGAGTTCCCGGTTGTCGGCGGGTTCACTGGATCAGGGGTACAGTGGTCATGTCAGAACCCTCCGACTGGGTGCTAAAAGCTGGCCTTCTTACTTTGCTTTGGCCTTGGGCAACTCAAGTTTTCATGCACATAACCAGAATTAAAGGTTTGGTTCAAGCGGTGGCTTTAAAATGGCTCCAGAGAACACCAGGGCTCTGCAGAATTCACCAGGGCCATCCCTTGTGATGGCAGTAGTCAGGACTCCTCTCTCACTCACTCCCGCCATTTCTCTGAGCCTGTGGCTCCATTTCATCCACTTCACACACTGGCTGTTCCCCAAGACGTAGGCTCTGCTGCTCCCAAAGACGTGTTCCAAAAGCCTGGCCTGTGTGGGCTCCGCCCTAAAACCACATTGAACACTGGTGACACTTGGAGCCAATGATCTTTGGTTGTGGTGCTGCTCTGGGCACTGCAGCCAGCCTGCTCATGTACCAGGTAGATGTAGTAATCCCCCACCCAGCCCGGTTCTGAGTGCCACCAGGGCCACAGAATCATCCCTGGTTGAGCAAGGAGACAAAACTTTTAAAGGCAATTTCATAGAAGTGGTCACCAGTGCACACCACACTGGGCCACCTCTTTGTACTGGCCAATCAGCAAAACGTTTCAAATTTGCCACTTCTCACGGTTGTAACAAATTGGATTTAGGCTGCTGGCAGCTGATGGACCATTGGCATTGTTTGATAGGGTCTTAGATGTACGTACATGTCCTTGACTCAGTTACATATTCTGCTCCTGGGGATACAAGGGTCTTTCTTTAAGAGGTTCCTGGGAACATTTCTTTACCTTCCAATCCGTTTACTATGAATTTTTGAAGTCTCTTGTGCATGCCTGGGAGAAGCTCCTCCAGGTGCAGACCAGCGCACAGTGTGTTCCATAGCTGCCTGCCTGTGCTGCAAGCCCCTGGGGCTCCCAGACCCCGCCGCAGTAGGCCAGTCTGTGTCACAGGCAAATCGGGGACGGCAGTGGAGGGCACCACTGCCCACACCCCTAACTCTATTGAGTTTCACAGACATCGTCTTGATGAAGGACGATAGAAAAGAAATGCATACGCAGTAGGATTCCATTTACATAGGGTTCCTAAAGATGCTGTGTAAGTCCACATATATTGTCAAACCATTGAGAAAGTCCCCAAAGTTATTATAATAGAAGGCAGCAAGATAGTGGCTCTTTCTGGCAGGGTGGGGGGACTTGGGGGTGCAGGGAATGCACTGTTCCTTGACCCTCAGATCACACGTTCTTCCGTGTGTCTTCCCTAGAGAACGCCAGATCAAGTGTCCTAAGTGCAGCAAGCTGTTCTTGAGAACAAACCACTTGAAGAAGCACCTCAACTCTCATGAAGGAAAACGGGACTACGTCTGTGAGAAATGCACAAAGGCTTACCTGACCAAATACCACCTCACCCGCCACCTGAAGACTTGCAGAGGGCCCGCCCCCGGCTCCTCAGCCCCCGGGCAGGAGGAGGAAGAAGAGGAGGAAGATGATTCCGAGGAGGAGGAGCTAGTCGACTCAGTGGGCACGGAAGACTGTCGGGGGGGCGGTGCTGTATATGCCACGGACGAGTCCCTCTCCGCACACAAGTAAACGACGGCCCGGGAAAGACAGGGATGGTCGGTTCTCCCCTGCAGTGGGTTTATACGAGGTGCTGTCTCATTGCCTGAAGCAAGCCCTTGGGCTCAGGTGGAAGCATCCTAGAGCAGAGAGGACACAGCAGTGGCCCTCCTGTGTCTGCATCCCCATGTTTAGAGCAGCACCTGCCTTAACCCTCCTGGCTGCACCTCTTTTCCTCACAACACTCACTCTTGGGAGCATTGGGATAGATCCTATGTCCCCAGTTTTCAGCAGGTGCCTGGAAGGCAAATACAGAAGGGGCTTTCAGACAAGAGGCAAAGATGGAGGGAAGAGGGCCACCTGGGTTACTGCCCAGGAAACTAGCTTGGCAGGGGGCAAGGGCAAGCCTCCTGGCTGTGGGCACTTAGGAATCTTTCCTGGCTTAGACATGTCTCCATCTGTCTCCAGTTCAGTCCCAGCCCCCCTTGACGAGGGGCCCGGGGGACAGAATGCCCGAGCAGTGGCTGCTGGGTTACTTCCTGGTGGCAGGCCATGGAAGGGAAGGGACTGATCACACACACACACACCCACACACCCACACACCCACCCACCTGGCTCAGTCTAGAGTCTAGGGAGAGTGCAGAGACGCCACTCCCCGTGGAGATGGCCCTCGCCTGCAAAGCCACAACGTGGAGCATGTGCTAGGGTTCGTCCCCTAGTTGACTCGCGGGGACCTCACTCGCTAAGCAAGGTAGATGCCAAGTGATCTGGAAGCTTGCGAAGGCTCCGTGGTCAGTGCCGGCCCTGTTTTCAGGGCTGCAGCTCAGCTGATGCGCCTGGTTCCCAGGATTGCAAGAACACACTCAGCTGCTCTCAAGGCTCAGTCCGACGGGGAGTGGAGAGGGCTCTGTACTGGGAAGGTTTTGCTGCTAATGTATTTATGGAATGAATGTATTTCATTCAAATCTGTATTCCTCTAGGAAGGATTAAATTCATCTTTTTGTAAAACATTGGATTCCTCTTATAATCTTATTTGGTGGGTGGAGGAGATGAACTGAGCCTTTTAATAGGAAATCAGGTACACTGCAGCTTTCTCTACGATTAGAAGAGAGAAGCTTCGAGGTAATATTCTCGTCTAATAGACCGCCAGCCCTCCTCTCCCATTTCTCCCCTGAGGAAACTCCTCCCTGAGTCTGGTTAGGGCACCGTGAGGCAGTCAGCCCTGTTCTGGGAAACCATTGCTGCTGGAATCTTGCCTTTACCTCAGTAGCACGCACTGCCTTAGCCCCTTCAAACCAAATGATTTTTGAATTCTCTGATGAAGCCTTGTATTTTCAGTTATGGAAGACATTTTGGATGAAACAAGGAGGAAGATTTTTGAAGGATTTTCAACCCCTTAGGACACATGCCCCCTGGGGGCTCACGGAATTGGGTGGGTTGGGCCCTATTCCTTAGCTTTGTGCAGTTGTACAGGCCTCCACTAGAGGGCAGCATGCGGGATAGACGTTTCCCACTAACTCCAGTGACGGGAAGTGTAGACAAGTGTCTTCCTTTTTTTTAATCGCAGCCTTAAATGGTATGTTCCTAACTCATTCTCACAAGATGAGTAAACACTAGAGCTGCTCCTGGGACAGCACTGAGCATCCTCTCCCTGGAGTTTCAGGCAGCCGGCAGCACCTCTGTTGGGGGAACGAGTGGGCTGTGCTCCAGGACCCTGCAGAATGTTCTCTCCTCTGGGCTGCTGACGGGTTTGCTGACCTCGTTCAAGTTCCACTTCCTGCCTCCACTCCCTCCCTTGGAGATGAAGGGACCCCTCTAAGGAGTGCTCATTTCCTGACAAGTCCTCCGTGTGAAGGCTTCCACTGAGCTCGACACACAGGGAACAGCCACGTTAGCTAAAGCGTTCACTTTTGGTGACATGAAACTCACCCGGTTTGCCTTGTCAAAGCCTCAAAACCAGTTTGTAGAGTTCTAGTAGAACTTGGTATTTCTTTCCTAAAGATAGGAGTTGTTTAGAATCCTTGTATCAAGGAGCCTTTAAACATTTCTTGGGAAAATCCCATTATCCTTTAATCCCATTTTTCCAGCAGCTTTTCCCGAAGTCACCTCATTAGGTATGCCAGCCTGAGGTCCCTAGTCTCCTAGGGGGGAAAGAGCAGGGGCAGGAATGAGCAGCAGTCAGACTCGACTCCCCAGCAGCCTTGTCAGTAGCTAGCACTGTAGCTGTGCCCCGAGAAGTATGGCCTCGCCAGGGCTGGTGGCCCCTGGTCAAGGGAGCAAGTCCCACGATCGGACCACAAACTCCTGTGCGCACAGGAGTCACTGCTGCTGAAGCAGGTGCACGCCGCAGCTGCGGATGGAGGGGCAGCTTCCAGAACAGGAATTGCAGTTGAACCACAGTTCACAAAGGATCAAGAGCAGCCTAAAAGCCAGTTATACTGTGTGTATAACCGCCTGGGCGGGTTTCTGGACCACTGACAGAGGTGGAACCACGTGTTGGATTTTTGCCCATGCACACTCGAGGGGCCCCATGGGCTGGATGGTCCTCGGACATGGAAATCCATCTGTGATGTCCCTGCAAGATTGGTTTTAGGTGTTGTAGGGGAAACAGCAAGCCCCTGCTCTGGGGCGTCCTGTGGAGCCTCAGCATGCGTGTTTGCACAGATGACTCCCCAGGGAGCTTACCCAGGCGCAGCCCCAGGGCACTGGTGTGGCCGGTTTACTTTAGTTTGAGTTCTGCTAGAACAGGGGCTGGCAGACTGGCCCGTGAGCCGTATGCAGCTCTTTTTGGTACGAGCATGTGATTCTGAAGTACAAATAAAAAATTTTAAGGATATCGTTTAGATAATGGTTTTGTTTGTAAAGATGTATTTATGGTGCCCTTCTCCACTGACAGTATGTCCAAAGGACGAGAGAGAAGTCTCGCCGTCCTTGCTTCTAAGGAGCATCGCCTGGCTGAACAAAACAGGTCTTGTCTGTCCTTCTGACAGTCTGTGGTACCTTCAGTGTCTGCCAGCACCTTACTCAAATTCATCGACTTTTATTTTTTGGTCTTAGTCAATGTCCAATATTCTCACGCATAGATGACTGAAAATACCATGGTTGGAGTCAGGTGCACCTTAGTCCTCAGAGTAATAACACCCAATACTCTGAAGAGGTTTGTGCAGCAGAGTTACTTAAAGCAGTGCGCCCTTTGGTCTCCTGACTGCTGGTTCCAGGAGCACTGGCTGTGGATCCCAGCAAGACAGAATCTCTGACAGCGTCAACCTCTTCTCCACTTGTGCTGTCTCCGATTGGTCCCGTTGTGAGGGTTGGGTTTTCTTTACAGTGAAGGCTGCCGTCCTCGACCTCATCTTGGTAGTGGATAGTAACCACTCACCTTGCTCGTGCCTTCAGAGCCTGAGAGCGAGCTCCCGGTCACTGGGACGAGGGCTGGGAAAAGGCTCTCAGGAAAGACCAAGAGGTGTATCATCTCACCTAACTGGGTTTTCTGAATACAGAAAGGAGGCACCATTACATGACCTCACACTAAGCCCCCGTGAGGGAGACTACTGAATAAGTGCTTGTGAAATGAAAAAGATTAAATCCTGCTCCTTCTAAGCACATGGCCTGGGTACCCATCCACATAGGCTGGGAAGAAGAAGACTTCAGAGAAAATGGTGTTAAGCAGAGCTTTGAAGGATGAAGGTGTTAAGACCAATATATATATATATATATATATATATAGAGAGAGAGAGAGAGAGAGAGAGAGAGAGGAGAGGAGAGGAGTAAACTGTTGCAGGCCGAAGAGATGCGTGGTCCTTCTGAAAAACTTGGAAGACTTCCACCTGAAGCGAAGAACACCACACTCAACACTTAAGGAGGTAGACGCACTCCCATGCTGTCCACTCTCACAATCACCTCCCACATGGTAGCAGAGATCCTAGTCAAGGAAGAAAAAAAAAAAAAGGCATTAAATTATCATTTAATTTTTCCCCCAAATGGATACCCAATGTCCCAATTCCATTTTCCTTCTCTGCTGGGTTCAGTAGTTTCTGGCCGTGGCCACAGGAACCCAGAACCCACACTTGCAGTTAAGTGATTGCTCGGCTCTACAAAGCAGCTCCTTTTCCAGCCAGCTTCTCCGATTCGGTGCAGGGGCCACACACGACTCGGAGCTCATGCTCCCGGGTTTAATTAAGGGAGTTAGCAGCTTACAAGGCAGGTGGAAATGATCGCTAGTTGTTTAGTCAAAACGTGACAATGTCCTTCCAGGGCTGCTCATAACTGCATTAACCCTCAACCCGAAGGCACCCACATTTCAGCTCTGTGGATCAGCAAACCCAGCTCCCCGAATTAAGTGCCCAGAGGCACCCACTCCACAAACTAGCCTTCTGCCCCAAAGCACTCCGCTTTACGTGTTCCGTCTCATGCCCTGGCACCTGGGTCTGCTGGTGCTGGTGCTGTGGTGCCCAAGCTGCCCTCTGGATCAGGTGGTTTAATGTCGGTCGGGGTCTCCGGGGTCCTGAAAGACGCGTTCCACTCATGCCTCTTCTCTCATGCTGGTAGTGAAACCCTCCTTCCAGGGTCTGAAATGGCTGTTTATACTCAGGAGTGCCCTCGCTCACAGCTGAGTCAGATCATACCATCAGTACCTTTGCCCGCTTTCTTTCCAGACCCATCAGAGAAAGGTCATTTAGTGGGAGTTAGAGACTCTGGTTGGGGGAGCTGCATTCAATAACTCACTGCCCTGCCTTGGTTTACTAGGGAAATTGAGAATTCAACTTGGGCCAGGAATGACTCAGAGGTAGCAGGTACAACTTAGGATGCAGTTCTTGATCAGAATCACTTCTTCCTGCCTCGCTGTTGGACCTTCCCTGGGGCCCTCTGGGGCAAGTGTTACAAAGCTCTTTAGCACCACTGGTAAGTGCCCAAGGTGTAACCTCACTCCACTAGTAAGCCTTGGCTTAATTGCTCAGCTTAATTGCTCCGTGGGCCAGGCTGCCTTCCAAGGGCCCCCTGGTGTGGCTGCCTCAGCTGCTGCCAGTTTCTCACCATCTGGCTCTAGAGCTCTGTCAGTCTTGGGTCGAGAAGCTTCTCAGCGCAAAACCCTGGCCCAGAAGTGGTTTGAGGTCATGGATTCATCGATGTCCCAGTTAATTTGCCTGATAGGTTTGGTGTTCCACCTCCTAGTTCATTGCTGGGCCATTTGATTCTCCAAGCCCTACAAGAAATTACGGTTCTTTTACACAGCAATAGTTCTACCCAAATTGACCACTACTGCATCATCGTGGTCCCACCTGGGCCCGTTCTCCTGCCTGTAGGTTAATGGCAATGGAGGAGCCCTGGGGCGCAGTGGTTGACGTACTCAGCGGCTCACCACAAGGTCAGCAGACCAACCAACGCTCAGAGGCCTCGCAGCCTGGAGAACCTATGCGGCCGTTCGCCGCCGCCCCATCGAGCCCCGGTGAGTTGGAATCAACTTGGTGGCCGTGGGTTTTCTGTCCATTGCTTTCCCTATCACCCAAGTCAGTACGCGTCCACCGGTTCACCATGTCTTCCTCTCCCACTCCTGGCACCCCTCAGAGAGTGCTCACATTTGTACAGTAGGGTAAGGTGACCAGATTTTAACATTGGTAAAGCGGGACACCATTGATAAAACTCATATCCTGGTGAAATAGCCACATGGCAGCTGAAAACCGTATACTCTAGCTTGTCGTGCATTCTTTCCAAAAATCGGGACTTTTAAAAAATGCCGCAGGGCCCGGAAAAAATTGTTAAAAAGCGGGACGTCTGGTCACCTTACCATAGGGGCCTCTTCGCGTGTCCTTTTGTGACCGGCGTATTTCAGTAGGCAGTGTCCTCTGGGTTCACCCACGTTCAAGTGTTTGGCAGACGTGGTCGCCCTGACCGTGTGCAGCACTCGGTGTGCGCACCCCCGGGGGGCGCCCATTCTCCGCTGGTGAGCAGGCAGGAAGCTCGCATCTCTGTTGCTGCTGTTGTGCCCTGTGCTCTCGGGGACCACGGGTGT